CCCATTCGACATGTACTGCTATGTGACTATGCCATTCAATCTCAGAAATGCAGGGGGCCCGCGTGCACCAATGATGCACCACCTAGGTCTTGGGCGAGCACATCAGGCGAACCGTCGAGGCCGGCGTGGATGACATCAAGGACAAGTCCAGAAGGCCAAAGGACCTCATCGACGACTTGAAGTTGGTGGCCTACCAAGTACTAAAGCACGGACCTACAAGCTAGCCTACGAGAAGGGCGAAATCCTCACCAACACTTAGAACATAGAACAGATACGTTGCTTCTACCCTTAAATTCCCAAGCATCATACAATTTTCCTCAAAATACAATAAAGAAACATTCTTTAATTGTTCTAAATTTTCGAGGACCCCCCCGAGCCCATCGGTACGGGTTCGGCGTTACGATAACGCTGAGGGGAAGGCTCGACTCTGCCTCTGCAGGACCGAGCCTCCCTCGGGAGCTAGGGGGGAACCTCCCCCCCAAATCCCAAACTCTGTCTCGAACTGTGACAAATCAATTGCAAAAACCTAAGGACCGAAAGTTCGCCTCGAGGCCAAAAGGTCGACCGAGCCGCGAGACAGCCTACGCCTCTGGGCTACGGCAACTCCCTCACCACCTTTCGCCCGAGGGGCAGCTTAGGCTCCAATAAAGTTTTTGCAAAGGTCTTGTCTAAAAATGAGACAGGGGGACACCGTTTTTTAGTCGTCTTTTCGAAAAATTTCCTACGCCGAACTCTCTCGCGTACTCTGACAAATCAATTATAAAAAACCTAAGGACCGAAAGTATGCCTCGAGGCCAAAAGGCCGGCCGAGCCGTGAGACTAGCCTCGCCTCTAGGCTACGGCAACTCCCTCACCACCTTTTGCCAGAGGGGCAGCTTGGGCTCCGAGGAAGTTTTTTGCAAGTGATATGTTCAGAAACGGAGCAGAGAGCAAGGGCTGGGAAACATAATAGAAAACGATTAAGATGCATATATACACAAGTACTGAAAAGGCCTCGACGGCCACAAACGTTATGGTACAATGATGTATGTTCTAATCTATTACATGACCCCTTTGGTCCAGGGCAGAATACGGGGTCGCCAGCGTCGACGGACGGCGTAGGAGGAGCCACCTCCTCTTCGAACAGTCGGGCCAGCGCCGTGCCAGGGGAACTCCTGATCGCCCTCTCGCTCCGTGCAGAGGCTCGGTGGCTCTTCTTGCAAACTTGCCGGGGACCCAGCGACCCGCACTCACACTCAGGGGCCTGGCAAACGCAATAAACTCCTCGCTCAACAGGAACAAAGCCCCTGGAGGAGTAAATCCACTCCTCCAGGGCCTCGGGGGCTACACCCGGCGGGTGCGCTCGAGCGCACCCACCGAAACCACGAGAACAAAACACAATCCCAACGGGAGCAGCTGCAAGCCAAGTCTCGACAAACCCTCAGGGAGAGTGCTCGCACTTTCCCCGAGGCTCGGGGGCTAATGTCGGATACCATAAAAAGGGGTACCCTAAGCAAGAGCCGAAAATGTTGCTTAGACCTTGCAAAAATTAAAGCCAAAAGACTACCGCCAGGTCTCTACAGAATTCTCTGATTCGCCCGAGGCCTTGCGCCGAGGCCTCATGCGCGATTCGCCCCGCCGAGGCCCTCTCGCCGAGGCCGATTCTCCGATTCGCCCCGCCAAGACCCTCTCGCCGAGGCCGATTCTCTGATTCGCCCCGCCGAGGCCGAGTCTCCGATTTGCCCCGCCGAGGCCCTCTCGTCGAGGCAGTCCCTCTGGCAGGTTGTCCCATCCATTTAATGCGCCTGAATGCATCCGCTACGTCAGCCACAACTGGCAGGGTACAGCAACAGGGGTGATGGGACAACGATCAAATCTTCTTTTTACCATCCCTTACTGACGGAGCAAGGGTTGCCATGCCCTGCGGACACACGTCCTGCACTTTTCCACCTAAACCGGGTACAACACGGACCGCCGAGGCCCCCGCCTCATACACAGGTCACCTCCAAGGCCTCGGCAAATCAGGCCTCGGCGCGGTTAGCTACAACCTGCCAGGCCTCGGCACCCCACCAAGTCAAAAAATCCACAGGGCACGGCATGTCACCTACAGAGGAGGCCATACTGACTAGACGTCAACAAGGACTCTTACGACTTCAACAGCCTCGGGCATGGCCTGCGTGACGCACCGGTGATCAAGTACCAATTGCCATTCCCGACACTGTGCTGCTACAGGAATAGGCCACAGTACTGGATCTTCCTTCCTCGCTAAGGCTCTACGTGTAGCTCTCTCATGTACTCCTGGCTCCCTCCTTGTGGCTATAAAAGAAAGCAGCCAGGGCCATTTCTAGGGATCGAAACCACGTCAGCCCTCACGCAAAAACGCACTCACTCAATTCACGCGTGCTCCCACGCTGCCTGAGAGCAACGATTCAAGCAGCCCGCACCATACCACGCCGAGACCTGGGACTAGCTCCCTCTCTCACCCAGCTTGTAACCACCTACTACAAGCACTTCGATGCAGAGAATACAAGATCGATCTCCTAGACTGGACGTAGGGCACCGATTGCCTGAACCAGTATAAACCTTGTGTCTCTTTGCATCACCATCTGGGATTAGGGGCACGCAGTTCATATTTACTGGTTGGTTGAGGACCCCTGGTCCGAAACACCGACGCACCTATATCCTATTCTTACGTCTTTTTCCTTTCCTCTGTTTTGCATTCCTTTATTCCAAACAGCCCCTCAGAATTGTTTGTCCTCTCATGAGTTTTGTTCCGTATTTTTTTAGTGAAGTGTGAGTCTCGATTTTAATCTAATGAGATTACTGACTAGTGTCTTTCTTGATCTGTATTTTCAGTCAGCCAAAGACATCAGCGGCCAGAGCTGCTCCCAAAACTGGCGTGCTGCAGTGCAGTCCCCAGATGCATGCTGCAGTCTGGTGATGCAGACAAGCATGGCATAGATCATAGATGAGTTCTTCTGTATAAGCAGGCACACCCCAGATGCATGCATCTCAGAAGATTGAAGAAACTAGCTAGCATGTACATTTTTTTCCTTGTTAACTTGTAAACGTCCAAGAGAATATTGTAATGGATTTTTACTACTGCTTTTAAACAATGTGGTGTATTCTACTGCGATATTTGTCTTTTACGGTTTTTCTTTTGGAATCGTTGCTTTTTTACAGTTTGATTGATCGAAATATCTACTGACGTGGATGAGAGATAAAATCTCACTACTAATCTAAAGATGTGGAGGAAAAAAAATCTTACTGCTAATCTAAAAACGTGCAGAGACCAATTACATTAACTACAAATCATTAACTTCCTTAATCATAGGCATTTACGGCTAATTGAGAGAAATAAAATCATTAACTTCGTTAATTATAGGCATATACGTTTAATTGAGTAGGAAAATCTGCTCCTTCCGTATCCACCCATACTTAGAAATAAACAAATCACTAAATTGATTGATTATTACTACTTGATTGCACTAATTACGCTAATCTTACTAGTTCAAAAAATGTTTGGAGACTATTCATGTAATTTTATCGTTGCTATACTGTTTCTCCTATTACTACTAATAAGAAGTATTACTTTCAAATCTAATATCATGGCATAGAGACAAAATCAGCTATACGGCTCCTCCTATTATTACTACTAAGGAATATCATGGCAAAGAGACAAAAGGAGCCATCCAGATAATGAAGTAGTACTGTTAGCCATCGAGATAATAACGAAGTAGCAATATTTTTCCATGCACGCTACCAGTGGAGATAATGTCGCTTGAAGTTTGGACTGACGCGTTGGATTTAGATGCACGCAATTTACGGTAATCATGTTTGCTCATTGATTTGCGTGAGAGCTTTTACTGCTGCACAAAGCTGCAGGCCTGCGGCGATCGAAAAGGTGCGAACAACTCTTACGGCCAAACACGTCCCAGCGAACAGGAATAGTTTTGGGAAGCGGATGTTTATAGCGTTGCGGACTGAATCATTTTACGGTTGCGGATCGAGTATTCCGGTTGAGAAAAGGTGACCGGAGCTTTTGCTGGTTCCGCCCGCGCCCCGCCGGCGCTCCCATGTTTAGTTTGCTCCTAAAATGCCAAATTTTTTAAGTTCACTCATCAAATACCAAATTTTAAATATAAATAAAAAATAAAACTAATTACACAGTTTTAGAACGAAATCCATAGACGAATATCTCGAATCTTTAGACTATGATTGAACACTGTACGAAAATACTACTATGGTGTCGTTTTAAATATAAATAAAAATAAAGAGCTAAAATTATACTGTCCTCTCTCTCTCTATATATATATGTTATGAAATTCATCACAAGCTAAGTTAATGTTGGCAACTTACTAAGTTTGTATCAAATTAAAATACAACTTTAAAGGTTTTTTTCTCTTATTGTAAAACATAGACATATTTGCTTGTAAATGTATCATAATTTTAACTTTCATGCTATCTATGTGCTGATACAACTCAATATTAAGTTCTGCAACTTAGTTTAGAGACCCATAAAAACCTACAATTCTAATATCTGGTCAAGTTAGCAAGAAGCTATCTGTTGACGTGTCAAGAACTAATCTTTTTTGCTTATGATTATAGTGGGAAAGTTGTCTTTATTTTCCACGTGGTGGCTCTCGTTATGGATTACATTGGTATATGTGTATGAACTATAGAAAAAATTATTTAGACTGGATGGAACTACAAACATTAGAAAATAGAGATAGAGATAGACATTAGAGATTAGATAGAGAAAAATAATAATCCATCGCAGAAAATAAGTTTGTTTTTTATAAAGATCGCAGAAAATAAGTAATATAAGAGTTCGGGCCGTCCTATTAAACAGGTCGCACATTGGCCCAAGCCCATCTAGGATCGAGCCCATGGAACGCCACGTGAAACTTCGGTAACGTAAACATGCGTTTTCCGTCTCCTGCCATGTGAATGAAGGTCTGAAGAATCACAGAACTCACACGAACGGCGGCGCCTCCCGCCGCCGCTTGCCTCGCCGGTCCATGCCCGCCGCGCCGTCGAGGTGCCTCCTCGTCACTGGACCGCCGGTAAGCCCCTGAAACCTCTCAGAACGCTCCTCCTTTCTCCCAACAACCGCCTTACGGCTCCGGCTTCGGGTACTTGCAGGGCGTGGGGAAGACGACGCTGGTCATACGGGTGTTCGAAACCCTCAGATGCTCTCACCCGAACCTCACCATTCACGGATTCTACACCCGTACTGCGTTGCCTCGCCCTCTCGAACTCCGGTTCGTTCCACTGTGTAATTGATGACCACGAATTTTACCAGTTTCGGTGTGCTATCTCTGTTTGCAGGAGAGGTGAGAGAGGGCGGAGAAAGGGTAGGATTCGAGGTTGTCACGCTCGACGGCAGAAGTGGACCCATTTCCTCATCCAAGTTTTCCAGGTTGCTATTATGCATTAATGCTTGTTCTAAATTCTTATATTGAGTAGGTATTTGTCTAGCACCGTGCATTTGGGTAGTTGGAATTTTGAAACGTGACTGTACTATGGAAATTATCTGATACCGTGGATTAGTAGTCTAATTGTTCAAGCCATCGAGAATGACAGGGGCTACTACATTACTCTGCATACAAGCAAATTACCCAACGTCTAGTTTAAGATTGCTTCCCAGCAATTCCAGTTAAATTCACTGCTCAATTGTAAATGAAGGTCCCTTTCCAGCACGCCAACACCAAGAGATGGCCATGCTCCAATATCCTAAACCTGTCTTTGCTGATGATTGGAATCTGGATAATGGTTCATCTTTTCAGTTATGCAGATTTTCAGGCTAATTGTATTAGTCTGTGCTCATGTGTAACGCTACTTTTCCCTTTAGTTGACACACATCCTATAAGTCCATAAACATTCCATTTTCAGATGAACTTGGAGTTTTCCAGTTCTTGTTGTTGTCATGTGGGGCATCCAGTACCGACGCCGGCCACGCATCTAGGAGCTGATTGAGGCATGCAGCCATGCAATCAGATAATGCTAGGATTAGATATTGCTAGAATAAAGGAGTTTGTTTCCTTTTTATTAGATGGCCACGGGCCTATATATCCCATGTAATTGGCACTCTTGGAAATCAATCAAGAATTATCAATCCTAATCCTCTCTCTTCTTCCTAATCTCACCTCCTTCACCATTGGGCAGCCGGGCACCAACCCCGACGCCATTATCAGTCGAGGCTACGAGCTCCGTAGCCGAGGACCCGCTGTCTTGGGCATTGACGCCCTTGACAACCTGGTATCACGGTCCAGGAGTTCCTCTCCCAGCCGCCCACCATCGCCGCCACAGTCGTTCCGCCCTTCCTCTGCACCGCCCACCCCACGCCGCATCCACGCCATGGGCGACAGCACTGTGAACAACGCCGCCTTGCAGGCGACCTTGGATTCCCTGGTCGCGTCCATCAGGACGCTCCAGACGTCCGTGGAGGCCAATGCCCAGGCCATTCAGCGCCTGGACGCCGCGCGCCCGCCACCGGGCGGTGGATCATCCTCCTCACACTCCGGGACAGGGGAGCACCACCAAGATCGGCCACCGCGGTTCCAAAAGCTCGACTTCCCGCGCTATGATGGCAAGTCTGACCCGCTGATCTTCCTCAACCGGTGCGAATCTTATTTCCACCAACAAAGGATCATGGAGGAGGAGAAAGTGTGGATGGCTTCCTACAATTTGGAGGAGGGCGCCCAGCTGTGGTACATCCAGGTCCAGACAGACGAGGGCATCCCCTCCTGGCGCTGCTTCAAGGATCTTCTCCATCTCCGCTACGTACCTCCGCTGCGCTCCAATCCCCTCCACGAATTGGCCTCGTGCAAGCGCACGGGCACTGTCGAGGAGTACCGGGAACGTTTTCAAGCGCTCCTCCCTCGTGCCGGGCGCCTCGATGAGGAACAGCGCGTCCAACTCTTCACCGGGGGCCTCCAGCCGCCACTTAGCCTCGACGTCGAGGTCCACAACCCTCAGTCCCTCGCTGTCGCCATGAGCCTCGCCCGCAAGTTAGAGCTCCGCGAGCAGTGTGCCGCGGCGGCCGCGCCACCACCACGACCCGGGCGTGATCACCAGAGGGGCCTCCTACCGGCGCCACCACCCCATCTGGCGCTCCCAGCGCCCAACACGGCGCCCGCACCAGCGCCACAACCGGTCACCGTCGAGGGCCGCCAGGTCAAGTGCCTGTCGCAGGCAGAGATGGAAGAGCGCCGCCGCCTAGGCCTCTGCTTCAACTGCAACGAGAAGTTTGGGCGAGGCCACAACCGCGTCTGCCAGCGCATCTTCCTCCTCGACTTGGCAGCGGCCGAGGACGACGACGACTCTGAGCCAGACGAGGCCACTCCAGGGGAGCCCCAGATCTCACTCCATGCCATCGCTGGCGTGCGCACCAGCGAGACCATGCAGATGCGTCTCACGATGGGCGACACCTCCCTCCTCGCCCTACTCGACTCCGGCTCGACGCACAACTTCATCGTCGAGGAGGCGGCCGCCCGCGCCTCGCTCCCGTCCATCACCCAGGGACAACTGCGGGTCACAGTGGCCAATGGCGAGCGCGTCCAGTGCCCCGGCGTGTTCCGCAACGCGCCGTTCTCCATCAATGACGAGGAGTTCACCGTGGATTTCTACGCCCTGCCGTTGGCTGGGTACGACGTCGTCCTGGGGACCCAGTGGCTAGCAACGCTGGGCCCGATCCTGTGGGATTTCGGCGCCCTCACCATGTCCTTCTGGCGTGGCGGTCGCCGGATGCGCTGGTGCGGCACGGCGGCTCCCAAAGGCCCGGCGCTCCAGGCCTGTATCGGCGCCGATCTCCTCACCGCCATCCTCGAGGAGTTTGCTTCCATCTTCGCCGAGCCCTCCGGCATGCCTCCGGCACGCACACGCAACCACTGCATTAACCTTCTGCCGGGATCCGCCCGGTGGCTGTCCGGCCATACCGCTACCCCGCCGCGCACAAGGATGAGTTGGAGCGCCAATGCACCGCGATGATGGCCTAGGGCATCATTCACCGCAGTTCTTCGGCGTTCTCGTCGCCGGTTCTCTTGGTCCGGAAGGCCGATGGCTCCTGGCGATTCTGCGTGGACTATCGTGCCCTCAACACCATCACAATCAAGGATGCGTTCCCGATTCCGGTGGTCGACGAACTACTGGACGAGCTCCGCCACGCCCGCTTCTTCATCAAGCTCGACCTGCGCTCCGGTTACCACCAGGTTCGGATGCACGCCGACGACGTCGCCAAGACCGCCTTCCGCACCCACGACGGCCTCTACGAATTCCTCGTCATGCCGTTCGGCTCGCAAACGCTGCCAAGCAACATTCCAGTGCTCATGCACGACGTTCTGCGCCCTTCCCTACGTCGCCGCTTCGTCCTCGTCTTCTTCGACGATATCCTCATCTACAATGAGTCATGGGCGATCATCTTCGCCACGTCGCGCTACTGGCCCTCAAAGACGCTTCCAAAGAAAGATCGCCTCTTTGTCAAGCGATCCAAGTGTGTGTTCGGGGTCGAATCGATCTCCTACCTCGGCCACATCATCTCCGCTGCGGGTGTCGCCATGGATCCCGCCAAGGTCCAAGCGATGGCCGATCGGCCATGCAACCTCGCTTCGGCGCAGCGGTCCGGGCTTCTCGGCTGGCGGTACTACCGCAAGTTTGTCGAAATTTGGCACGATCGCCGCCGACCGCCTCCTCCGCAAGGAAAACTTCTCCCAGACTCGGAAGCTCTCGGCTTTCGCCGCCCTCAAGACAGCCGTGACGACGGCGCTTTGTTCTCGCCGCCTGACTTCAACAAGCGCCGTGCCCGAAAGCGACGCGTCAGCGTCAAATTACGGTTCGGTGCGGTGCTCGCTTCAGACCAAAGACACACCGGCGGCGTTCTTCAGCCGGCCGTCCGCGCCACGCCATGCGTCCTTGGCGGCGTACGAACGTCCTTGGCGGCGTACGAACGTGAACTCATTGGCCTCGTCCTCGCCATCCGCCATTGGAGGCCATACTTCGCACTCGCCCAATCTTCGCACGACGGTGCAAGATCACATCCGCGCCTGCGCCACCTGCCAGAGGTACAAGTCCGAGCACCTGCACCCCACGGGTCTCCTTCTACCGCTGCCCGTCCCGACGGCGGTCTGGACTGATGTCGGCCTCGACTTCATCGAGGCGCTCCCGCGCGTGGGCGGCAAGTCTGTCATCCTCACGGTGGTGGATCGCTTCAGCAAGTACTGCCACTTCATCCCCCTCGCGCACCCGTACACGGCGGAGTCGGTGGCCCGGGCATTCTTCGCAGAGATTGTACGCCTCCATGGTGTCCCGCAGTCTATGGTCTCCGATCGGGACCCCATCTTCACGTCCGCATTCTGGCGCGAGCTCATGCGGCTCACGGGCACCAAGCTCCATATGACGTCGGCGTTCCACCCACAAGCGGACGGACAGACAGAGGCCGCGAACAAGGTCATCGTCATGTACCTCCGCTGCCTCACCGGTGACCGTCCTCGGCAATGGGTACGTTGGCTCCCATGGGCGGAGTTCATCTACAACACAACGTTCCAGACAACGCTGAAAGACACGCCCTTCAAGATCGTCTACGGCCGTGACCCGCCCACGATCGGTTCCTACGAGCCCGGCGACACCAGGGTTGCAGCCGTGGCCAAGTCCATGGCGGAACGTGACGAGCTGCTCGCTGACGTCCGCTACCGGCTTCAGCAGGCTCAGGCGGTGTACAAGGCCTACTACGACAAGCACCACAGGGAGGTCCACTACGCCGTCGGCGACTGGGTCTGGCTCCGCCTCCGTCAGCGTGTTGTAGCGTCTCTCCAAGCTCCAACCACGGGCAAACTCAAGCCCCGCTTCTACGGGCCGTACCGAGTCGCCGCTGTCATCAACGCCGTCGCCTACCGCCTGGAGCTGCTGGATAGTGCCCGCCTTCACGACGTCTTCCACGTCGGGCTCCTGAAGAAGTTCGTCGGCACACCCCCGACGTCGCCACCGGCCCTACCACCGATCCACCACGGCGCGGCGGTTCCGGAGCCCGACCGCGTCACGCGCGCTCGCCTTAACTGTGGCGTTCGCCAGCTGCTCGTTCACTAGAAGGGCGAACCCGCTTCATCAGCGTCATGGGAAGACCTCGACAGCTTCGTCGCCCGCTACCCCACATTCCAGCTCGAGGACGAGCTGCTCGTCGAGGGAGGGAGAGATGTCATGTGGGGCGTCCAGTACCGACGCCGGCCACGCATCTAGGAGCTGATTGAGGCATGCAGCCATGCAATCAGATAATGCTAGGATTAGATATTGCTAGAATAAAGGAGTTTGTTTCCTTTTTATTAGATGGCCACGGGCCTATATATCCCATGTAATTGGCACTCTTGGAAATCAATCAAGAATTACCAATCCTAATCCTCTCTCTTCTTCCTAATCTCACCTCCTTCACCATTGGGCAGCCGGGCAACAACCCCGACGCCATTATCAGCCGAGGCTACGAGCTCCGTAGCCGAGGACCCGCTGTCTTGGGCATTGACGCCCTTGACAGTTGTCATATGCTTCCATCCTGCACATACCAGTTAGTTAATATGCAAAAGATTAATGAAGTGCTGCGTCCACCTATTCTTGCCTCTTTGCCCATCTAATATTTTTTAGCTATCCCAACTCTGCATGGTTGCCATTGCTTATTTCCGCAATGCTACCTTGATATATGTTTGCTGAATTTTTGTAACCTTGATATCCTCACACATACCATTACTTTTTGGTTCTTTTGCAGCTCAGAGTCTGTTAGATGGCCTACCGTTGGGAAATACAAAGTAGATGTAGCATCTTTGGAATCATTAGCATTACCTGAGCTGCAGGTAAGCAGTTGTAAGTTATGAAAGAGCTATGAAATATCAAGGATCACGGGATGTTGCTTGTTAGCTTAAGCATGAATGCATGATAAGGTTTTAAAGTTTGTTCCCGATTGATCACGATGCAGAAGGAAATATACTTCATATTTCTTGTTGAATCAGGTTAAGGAAGAAACAGATCTCTTCATCATTGACGAAGTGGGTAAAATGGAGCTGTTCAGTTCAGCATTTTTCCCTGCTGTAATGAGAGTTATTGAATCCAATATACCAGTGCTGGCCACCATACCCATTCCTAGGCATGGCCGGGACATTCCAGGAGGTACCATTTTATCCTATTCTGCAACTTTACAGAGGTTACTGATTAATAATTTTGCTGTTTTGTTCAAAATCATGTATAAAATACCATTTCCTTGATTGCTCGTTAACAGCCAATCCATTCATATGTATTTGAGAACCTGCTTTCGCTACACGTTTAAATCTTGTTGTATTCTACTAGCTATGCTTGCTGCATCCAATAAATTAAACAATATCTCTTGTACTGAAACAAGACTTATATTACACCATTCCACGCTCCTCTTGAAATGTAGCTGGAAATTGTGATTACCGTGGCTTGTCACTAGTGCTCTAATTAAATGGTACTACTGTAAAATGCAGTTGCGAGGTTGTGGAATCATCCTGGAGCAGCTGTTTTCACCTTAAATACTGGTAACAGGGATACGATGAGAGATACTATCTACAATCAGTTAAGCAGTTTGTTGCAGAAGAGGTGATCTGCTAACCTCCCTGCATCTCTATGGTCACTGGTTTGTCTGACATAACACGCAAACGATCAAAAGTAGAAAGTTTTCTTTCAGTATCTATCTCATATATCCTGTAATAGAGCACGCTGTCGAGTCTTCTGGTGCAGTACCTGAAATACCTTTTTTCAAGTTTACCAACCAATGAAAGACAGTCAAATTACTATGTTGCTGTGCTCAAATGGTTAACTCTGAATGGACGATAAGCATGTCATTCAGTTTTTTCTTAGTTATGTCTGTGGTTATTCAATCATGTATTCGCATTCAGTGGGCCAAGGTTTTTATTATCACAATAACGCTCGCTTGTATGGATGCATTTAGCATGTAGTGACTCTACAACAGGTATCACATGATTTGCACAACTAATTTGCTAATAGGCCATTATTGCCTGCGTATTTTGAGCCCATGGCCATGATGACTCCAGCTTGGTTTGGCAGCCCCATTTTAAGTTAATTAATGCTACTCTCTTTTGTCTGTGGAAGATGACCACGTAGCTGAAATGGCAATCAAGTTGGATAGTAATAATGCACATCGTTTTACTACTTGAAAAGCCAGGCTGAAAAATATTGTTGGCTAATTTGTTGTGAGAACAGGGCTGACAAATCTTTAACCAGAACTTATGAGCTGTGACTTCTCCTTTTACTAGAGTTTATGATCACTATTGTTAACAGTTATTGAACCGTCACTTGTGATAGGTTGCTTAGTGCAAAAGACATCATGCAGTCTTATGGATCACAGCACATTTGATTCCTTTAAGGATATCTAACCCAATACTAAATCCATATGTACTAAAAATAACGATGAAGTCGGCTAGTGAAAATGAAAGTCAAATTGCTGTATCGTTGGCAGGTATGCACAATGATGAAATTTTCTCATGATGAAACCTATCAAGAAAAGAGTGTAGAAATAGATTAGACTTATTCATCTCATGATACAATGAACAAAAGAACCACTGCATTGGTGTCGATTTGGTGGACAAAGAAGGTTTTTTTATCAATTCCATCTGCATTTATTCCAGCATTGGATTGGACCACTGCTGCTAAGCCACCTCGTAGTGGGGTAAGCATATCCTAGAAGCAACCAGCAAGCTCACATGACACATGTTCCTGTGGGGGGCTATTGATCTGAATGACTGGGAATTTTCACCCAAAGGGGCACAATCTTTCGATTGAGGTGGGCACTGAATTAAAGTGCAGTTGTACTGATCATGGCACCCCCTTTACAACCCACCGAGCTCCAGTTCCCCTTTGAGCCCTAGCGGAAAGGCGCCATTAAACGCCAACGCTGTGAGTTTTGGTAATAGTATTAGCAAATGGCAAGTGAAGTGTGGCCAGGACCATCTGGGCAGAGTTTTTCGTGTTTTAAGAACTGAATGCTCCTTTAAACAAGTTGACAATGTTCTGTTGAAGGCAGAAAGCGCAAGGGCAATCTCTCAGGACATACGGTACTCCATATAAATGCTTAGGCGTGCAAAATATATAAATGCCGAGTTCCAGATTATCCTATTGAGTTATTTGTAAGATGGAGCTGGAAGAAAGGAAGAACTTCAGGTAAATCAAATATGCACGCATGTTTGTTGATCCTGCTTCATAACTGGAAAAACTTCCAATCAGTAGCCCTTGAACTGAGTCCGAACGGTGAGTACTCTCTCCATCCAAAAAAAAGAATACAATTCTAGCTACAGTGGTTCGTCAATCCAATTTCAGTTTGCCCATTTTTAGAAAAAAAAAGTTACTAATATTTATGATACTAAATAAGTAGCATCATGGAATATGTTTTGATGGTAGTTTTTATAAACTTAGATAAACTTAGATCTCAAATTACATCCTTTTAGAACAAACAAACAGCTCTCAGCTGACAAGACCACGAGGTTCATAAATACTAGCTCATTTTTGCGCTTGCTGCTTGGTGTGAAACGAACTCTCATACTCCTGACTTCCTGAGCTTCCGAGGAAATCATCTCAGCCTGTTCGTTTCGGTTGGATTGACTTATAAGCCATGGCTGAAAGTACTGCTGGCTGGTTTGGTATGAGAGAAAAATATTGTTCAAGCCATGAATTATAAGCCAGATACAAGCAATCCAGCCGAAAAGCAATCCAGCCGAAACTAACAGGCTTTCATTCTGAACGAGGAGGAGGTCAGCGTGCCGATGACCCACTTTATAGGCAGTGCCGCAGTGTGGGGGGTGGAGGGAGCTGAAAATGCTGAACGGTGGAATTGATTCGATGGCAGCCCCACCATGTGATCTCTTCATGTAGATGTAGGTGAGGGCCGCCAGTTAGCTTGTTTAATCCCCGGACACAAGCATTTTTTTTCCCCCTCATCCAGTGCAATGCAAGCCGCGCCGAGGAATGATGATGGCCGATGGCCGTGCATGCACGCACGCCGGCCGTTTGATAACACTCTTACTTGCCGGATTTAATTAAGATGGGAAAGACCGAAAGAGGATTGATCGATCCTCCTACCGAAAGCTTGTGTTGTGCCCCCTTTTTATGGCTCTGCATGCAGAAATATTAGATGTCCTGTCCATGTCCTGGAGAGTTCCAACATCAGGCGTGCCATTGCTCCATGCTTATTGCTTACCGTCAGTGAGCCCCTGCTGTTCATCTATGAACCATTTCAATACATGCATGGTCAGGACTCAGGATGGAACACCAGGGGCATTGGGCAAGGAAAGCTTCAAAGCATGCATGGGTCCGTGTAGTACCTGTTGCAGTTGGCAGTTTGGTGAGAGAGACATGCAGACAGAGGGAGAGACGCTGTTGTTCCACACAAGAACCAATAATACAGTGTCCAGTTCTGTTAGTTCAGACCATGGTTTGCAACGTCGCCTGTCATCTCGGATCGATGATGGCAAGCGGCGGCAACCAGCCTCTTCCCGGCCAGCCCGTCCGCACGACACTCATAAATAAATAAAACCCCGAGCGGCAGCAGGCAGCAGGCAGCAGCTAGCAGTGGTTAGTTGGCCGGGTCAAGGCGCGCATGTCATGTGCATGTGCGTCAGTGCGTGTGCGCGTGGGTGCAGCCGTGCAGTGCAGGACGACGTCATCGACATGCGCCGAGATCAGATCACACACACATCACGCGTCGCTCTCTCGCGCGCGACACCGCTCCGGCAGTGTGTACCCCGGGCGCCATTGATGTGCCGTGGCCAGCAAGCAGCCCCGGTCCAGGAGCCATTTGGGGTGTTCCTCTTGGAACCATTACACTTGTCGCGCCATCAATCAACAACAATATATATGGCGTTATTATTATTATGTTATGTGGACATAGTCGTGTGCATTTCCTCCTGTTTCTTTCCTTTTTGCGTATATATTTTTCTGCTGGGATTAATTTATGTTTTGATACTCATAATGGCGGCACGTCAAGTGTACGGACACGTCTGGCTCAATAGATTTTCGGAGGTAGGAATATCCAACTCAAAGAAAACCTATCTCAATCACACTAGCTAGCTGCGCTCCAGGTACCTCGATCAAGAGAGATAAGAAAAATCCCTAGTACATTCACGAGCGCACGAATCATGTGCAGCGTTTGGTTGAGAGTCAAAGTGGAGTGATACGGTCACGTCTTTGATTTTTTGGACGGGATGGCTCTATTTTTTGTTTGGTTGATACGGAATAGGATAAATTCATTTTGTGTTTGGTTTAGAGACATCAAAAGTAGAATCATCTACATGACAGGTGGGCCCCACGCTAGTCTCTCGTCATGCCTTTTTTTTTTTACCACTGACACATGGGACCCATTTGTCAGTTTTTTTTTTCATTTTTTTTTCATTTTCCTCTCTCTTCTTATCCCTTCGGACCTGCTCGCCGCCCGGCCACGCTCGGAGCCGGGGCCGCTGCTCATCATCGCCCGTTGAGGGCCCATGCAGGAGCGCCACCCCGCCCCTGCGCTCACCCGCCAGAGCCTCCTCTTCTTCCTCCCCTGGCGCGCTCAGGTAGCTGCCGTCCCACCTGGGACGTCCCCGTCCCCTCGATTTGGAGGGACAAGAGTCACGCAGATATGCTCGGAATATTTCCAACTGGGATGTCCCTATCCCTCTGCGACTCTAAACCAAACATGCTAAGAAAAGAGGTCCATCTCATCCCATCCCAGCAAATCCCAGCAACCAGAGCGGATCCAAAGTAAATCATGTGATGGCAGATGCTCTTAGGTTTCAGCCTTTAGGGCCATTTTGTCAGGGCTCCGGCCTTTCTTGTAGAATAGTTTTTCTGGTAGAGTTAAAAGCGGGTCTAAAAAATACTTGGCTAAAACGGCTTCGGCTGAATGATTCTAGTGCTACCGCAGGGGTGCATTAAGCAATTCTCTTGCTAAGATTTTTCCCTCCTCCAACGATTAGCAAATGATTATACTATATACTATTACGGAGTATATATTTTAGTGTAAGAGCATCACTAACAATCTCTATTAAACTCACTCTCTAAATTCTTATTTAGAGAGCCATTAAAATGAATATAGTTCTCTATATTCTTTCATCCTTCAATAGCTTGTCTATGTCTTATCCACAATTTAGAGAGTAGTCCTCGCTCTCCATCTTTAGATATCGAGAAATCAATATTTGCATATCTAATTGAAAAATCTATTGGAAATTTTTTAAACAAAGTTTTTATTCCCATCAATCTTGAACTGTATAAAGAAACTCTCTTAGAGTTTGCTCTAATATAAGTGGGACTTGATTCCTCTATTTCAAGGACGAAGTTAAGTTCTTTTTCATTATTTAAACAAGATATTGCTACACATAATTAATGAGAGGACATGAGAGCATCTCATCCGGATTCCCACATGATGATGACCAACACAGGTCGAGACTGAGATCCGTTGCCCGGAACGGCCGGGACAGCGGGCGGCGGTTTATCACAACGCCGCCAAATGGAGGCTGCCCTTGCCTCGTGCGTGCGATAGCGAGCTGCGGAAGGGGATCAGGAGAAGCAGGAAGAAAAGATCAGCGAAAGCGTGTGGTGCACCAACTAGAGTCCTCGCATAACCGAGCTGTCCCCAGCCTAAACTACTACTATCACAAATTCAGATGCCCCCTCTGGCCGGCCTCCTCATCTACCTGGCTCTTTTGCCCTGCTACACAATCTCTGTCCTTTTGAGCCGTTTTTTCTGATCTGATCTGACTGATGGCTAAGTAAAGTAGTTATTTATGTCTCACCAGCTAATCCAGGGCAGGGTCAGTTAACCACTGAAAACAGCTCACCATCTTTCCGCTATCAACACCCTAACAGCAGTAACTACTTAACGAGCAGCGACAATCATCATGTTGTTGTGGTCGGTCGAACTGTTGAGTTCGGTTGCATGCAGGAATGCCAGGCAGAGAGAGAGCAGACGACGAAGCCTACTAATCCAGCGGCTGCAGGCAACAAGAGAGGGGAAACGGAGAGGAGGGTCAGGGTGGGTGGGTGCGGGCAAGCAAAGGCAGGGAAGAAAGGCTTTCGCTTTCGCTTTCCCGGCTGTTGCTGTTGCTTTCCTTCCTCTTCTAATCCTCTCTTCTCCTCTGTAATTATTGTGCGCGAGCGCGAGTGCCACCATAAGCGCAGCGCGCGCCAACAAGAACCTCGAGCCCCCGCGTGCCCGGCATCTCTCCCCCTCTCGTCTTGCCTCCTCCCGCGGCACCCGGGTTCCTTCCCATCGCGGGAGTCGCGACGGCCGGCGGACGGTCGCCGGACCTGCGTACCGGCGGCGGAGAGATCCTCGAATGTATGTATGGCCCTCATCTTGGATTGCCAGTTGGTTCCGATTCCTTCGCCGTTTGCTGCCTGCGTGCAGATTGATCTCGGTTTGTGTTTTGGTTATCTTCTCCTCCTGGTTACGAGACGCGGATTCTTTCTTTCTTCTTCGTCATCGTTCCGATCTGCTTGCACGTGGGTGGGGTTCAGCCTCCCACTCTGCTGACGACTTGGCATTTCTGGATGGATTGCCTTCGATGGCTCTCTTTTTTTCCTCTCAAAATGAATTTCGAGAAAGTTTTGTCCGTATGACTTTTCAAAACGATCTCAAGAATGTTTTGTTCGTGTGAATTATGATCCTGCTTGCTCTGCTTCCTTTTCCCGGTTTGTTTCAGACTCTCAGTTCACGTCGATTACAAATGTGTCTCGCTTCTCTTATCACAATGCGTCTTCTGCAATTGTTCAGTTACGGATTCCTTTGCAATGATGAACTCGCCCTGCAGTCTGCCCTTGTGTATCGGTCGTTCGATTTCCTTACCAGGAAATGGACTTGCAAAACTGACGAACCATCGTGTGGGTTTTCCTCTCTGTCGTGGCATGGTCTCTGCAGAATCTGACATGATATCCCGGGCTTCTTTTTGCAGGACAAGAAACTTTTCGTCCATCTGAGACTCTGATCTCGCCATCGAAGCACACGCTGGACCTCCGTGGTTGGTAGTACCATCACCACTACCATCATGCTGCAGTACCTGGACTTCTCCCATGCCAGCACCTCAAGGAAGTGGGGGCACAAGAGGCAGGGAGATGGTATGGCGATCAATTCAGTTCTCTCTGTCCACCATCCTTCAGATGAACTAGACCTGAAATCCTGCATCCTTGCTGGATGCGTCGTAGGATGGAATTATTTGATCAAGAGATTCTTTTTTCTTTGTTGGTATGATATTTTTCCCTGCTTTTTTTTTGGTGGCGGAATTCAGAACTCATTGTTATGCCATATCATATACTTTCAGGACTTGAAGCTCCAAGGAACAGCATGGAGTTCGCCTTGGAGGCTTCCCACAGCTATGGCGTCTTTCAAGAAGATGTTCCGGTGAGTCTTCCGTATACTAGTACTGCTCTGTCAGAGTAAATTCCTTCCATCTCCTGTCTGTCCCCATCCCATAGCAGGCACGCTGCTGTTCTGTTTTCAGACAAGGAAGAGGAAGGACCTCTGTTGTCACTGACAAATACAGCACTATATAGTTCGTTCATTTTGACCACTTGAAGCACATACTTTTGCATGTCTCGGTAACTTTGTTGCTACCTCCTATAGTCATCCTAGCTGTCTGTACTTGAAACTGATTATAGTTACGTGAGAGGACACAGCAGAGAATGCATCAATAATGGTGTTAAGCAGCACAGATCTACTGACTACGTCAAAAAATAGTGCTTTTGTTGGAGGGGGCAATGTCGAGATATGATTTTCAAAAATTGTTTCATTTTATTTTACTGTGCAAGAGCTAACATGCACTGACTTGCTAAGATCTGATTAAGTTCCTTGTGATTTTTAGCAGTATTCCTGCAATATGAGGCAGTACCCAAAATCAGGGTTCAGCCACAGCTCAAACACAGTCAAGAAGCGGATCCAGGAGGACATCTCCTTCAGAACAAATGAAGGCCAGAAGAGGCCCGGTGTGATCGCCAGACTGATGGGCATGGAATCGCCTCCACTGAACGCAACCACTGAATCCATCAGTCGTTCAGAGATCACCCCAAGACCAACAATGGCTAGAAGAGATAATCCTTCTGAAATGATCTCAGCCAAGCATGTCTCCTTCGTGCAACACAACAACAGGGACTCCACCAAGCAGGCGCCAAAGCAAGAGATCCGAGCCTATGGCTATGGCAAGGAGAGGGATGTGTTTGGGCAGATGAACACGAGGAGCAACGAGTGGAGTAAGCCGCAGCCTCGAGAGCACCCGCAGGAGGAGGAGCTGCAGAAGTTCAAGGAGGAGTTCGAGGCGTGGCAGGCGAGCAGGGCGTGGGAGCAGTCGAGAAGCTTCGAACTGGAGAGTAGCCTCGACGATGACGACGACGACAGCAGGTGCACGGACATCGTGCCGTATAGGTACCAGCACCACCATAACGGGAACGGGAAAGCTGCTAGCCATGGCACCAAGCACATGCACTCCTCCAATGAGGATGTGCATTGGAGAAGAAGCAGCATGGAGAGCAGCACGTCGATCTCCGGGAGCCGTACGTTCTCTCTGACGACGAGCGCAGACGCCGCCGCCGCATGCTCCACGAGGCTGCCGCTCTCCAGGTCCTACCACGAGGAGGAGAGGTCGTCGCTGTCGCCGACGAGGATCGTGATCCTGAAGCCCTGCCCCGAGCTGAGCACGGACGACATCGAAGAGTCCTCGCTGGGGTCGCCTGAGCTGGTGAAGAAGGAGAACAACATGGAGGCCTTCCTGGAGGAGGTGAAGAAGAGGCTCAAGATCGAGCTCGAGGGCGGGGTGGCCTCCGACGACAAGCAGGCGGACCGCCGGTGGGCCCCCGCCGCCGGTGACATTATTCCGGCCGACCCGAAGCAGATCGCGCGGAGCATCGCCAACCAGATCAGGGAGAACGTCACGAGGGACATGCACCCGGCGCTGGTGCGGTCGGAGTCGACGCGGTCGTACCGCAGCGACGTGCCGTTCGACGGGCAGGGACAGATGGACTACATCGGCCGAGACGCCAGGAGGCAGCTCTCCGACAGGCTGAAGAACGTTCTGAGGAGGGACCCGCCGGACGCCGAGACGCCCTTCTCGTTCTCTCATCGGAGAAGGGCCACCTCGACGTCGTTCGACGAGGAGTCGAGGCCCAAGCCGACGAGGCAGGTGGCGCCGCCGCCGCCGCCGCCGCCGAGGAAGGGGAAGGTCAGGAGCAAGGAGGAGAAGAAGCGCGCGGTGGAGTCCGACGTCAGGTCATTCAGATACGGATCGAACAACACCCCAACGACGACGGCCCAGCTGGACTCCGAGTCCGTGTCGCCGCGAAACCTGATGAGGTCGTTCTCGGCGCCGGTGTCCGGGACGACCTTCGTGAAGCTCCTCTCGGAGGAGCCGCGGGTGCTAACCGGAGCGAGGCTGCAGCGCAAGCAGGAAGGCCACGGGAGCAGCAGGCCGGCGTCGTCGTCGGAGGAGAGGAAAGGGAGGAAGGACGCGTTCAGCATCAGAGGCAAGGTGTCCAACCTGAGGCAGAACCTTGGGCTCAGAGCCAAGCTGTTCGGCAAGAAGTTCCACGCCTCCGACGAGCCGTTCCCGGAGGACCTCCCTCCCATAGGCACCCTCATCACTGCCCCATCGGTCCTCATCCACCCCGGCGTCCTGCAGGTGAGGCATGCAGCTCTGCTGAGCTTGCTGTTTTTTTCTTTTTCATCATGCAGAGCAGCCATTATCTATCGCAATCTAGAAGCATGGGAGTGACGGATGCTTTGTCTGGTTGCAGGAGAACTCCACCGAGGTGCCACCGAGCCCGGCGTCGTGGTGCAGCAGCCCGCCTGATGAGATGAACAGGGGAGGCTACCCAAGCCCTGTCTCGCCATTGGAGGCATCCTTCAGCGAGCACCGGTCTCACTTGAGAACGGAAGCCAAGGACATGGCTTCAACTGCTTCTGGTAAGTATACTGTGATTGTGCAGCAGTTTATGGCTTGCCATGAAGTTCTCTTCTGAACAAAGAACCTCTCGCAGAACCAGGAATCCTGTCAGAACAAGTCCAGACCGAAGAGCAACACACCGAGACAAGTCCTGTCCTGGACGAGCACGACGACGGTGACATGGACGCGACGGATGATCACCCCATAAAATCCTTCGCCAGAGCTGTTCTTGTCGTCGCCGGCATGTACGGACGGAGGCAGAACCCTGGCGACGCCGCCATGTCAGAGTGCGAAACCAAGCCCATACCCAAGTGGGTGCTGGAGGAAGTCGTGTCCTCAGCCCCGGCGGACGGCGGCGCGGCAGCCGTCGACTACCGGCTCCTCTTCGACCTCGTCAACGAGGCGCTGCCGGGAGCCGTCCGGGCCTCCACGACGCTGTGCGCGTTCGACAAGTGCTACGCCATGGTGCCAAGGAGAGCACCCGGTGGCAAGGCGCTGCTGGAGGCACTGTGGAAGTCCATGCAGGTGTGGCTAGAGCCGCCAAGCGACAGCAGGACGTCGAGCTCTGCCTCCGTGGACGTGCTGATCGGTCGTGACCTGAGCGTGTCACCGTGGCACGGCGCGTTCCGCGAGGACGCCGACGCGCTGGCGAGGGACGTGGAGGCGGAGATGCTGGACGAGCTGCTCGACGAGACGCTGTGGGACGTGCTGCTCAACGTGGGGGACTGATGAATCGTAGGTCTCTTCTGACGAGGATACTTGTACATTTTTGGGTGTTTTTTTTCCCTACCTCTTTTTGGGTGCTTGCCGGGTTTGTGAACAGGTGTTGATGAGTGAGAGATGTAACTATGCTTGCGTGTGAAAGAACAATGAATTTAACCTGAGAAATGCGTAAAGAAGAGGAAAAAAAAGAGTGAATTATAAAAAGAACAGCTGTCGTCATGTCATTCGGGGTAGTAACTACTCTTCAATCTAGACTGTTGTAGACTTCTGTTTGTGTAAAGAGAAACTGTAATAAACAAATGTCCTCTTTTTTCCACTGGCAAACGTGACCGTAACTTATAATACATATAAATCAGACTACATTGTATGGCCGTAAGTCATAAGTCTAGGTCATGTAGGAGATACGTATTGGAATTGGACTCTGTATTAATCATTGTCTAGACGTGAGTTGTTCTAAGTCGTATATGTATGGGTCATAAATCCGTGTCAAATAAAATTAAAAATGGGACGGAAAAAACTCTCCACTGCCCAAGTACTTGGGAGGTGGATGAAAAAATATAATGAAGTTTTGGTTCTTTAATGCATCACATTCAGAATCAAGTGGCGTGGTGAGACAAATGTAACAAACCTTTGAAAAATGCTAAGGACTAGATGTGATGATCAACCTGTGACATATCAATTAGAGTTAGCATCTTTGAAAATGGCTTTGAAAAGGAGTAGTTTGCACTATTCCATTGTGCCCCAGACTCTCCCGTGATGCATCAGAGATATGGAATAGTGCATAGCCCTAGCAGCTCTGAGTGCGTCAAGGTATAGTTCTAGGCCTTGTTTGGAATGGAGTTTTTTCACGGGAATTTCAATGGATTGCTCTTCCTCTATTTTGCTGACGTCATGAGATGTTTGGATTGAAGGAAAGGACCCTCCCGTTCCGGAGAAAAGTTTTGCTTTCCTACACAAAACACAGGAATAAAAACATCCACTGCAATCCAAAGTTTTTCGTTGATGGCCGAGGCAAGCACACGGTGAAGAGAGAGAGAGGATGAGGGTGGGAGACAGTCAGACAGAGAGGCGTCCCTGTGCAACCGGCAATAAAGAGAGAAGGACATAGCACTTCCAAATAAAAAATACATTAAAATATAGAAAGGTACTAGTTGTGAAGCAATTAACATGCTACTTCCTCCGTTTTTCCGTTTTTATGTGTTATGGATTCCTCGTTTCAAAACACCCCTTCTAGTTATTTTTCGCGTTTTTTCTTTTCTCTGTTTTACCACTACACACTCACCATATTCCTACGTTTTTTCCTATTCCCGTGTTTTTGATTCCTGCGTTCCAAACAGGCCCCTAGTATTTACACCGGATAAACCGAAGCGATGCACTGACATTGGCAATTAAATTCAAAATAGGTTACCAGAAGTCTCTAGTGATGCACTGGGGAGTGAGTCCAGAGAGTGTTTTTGCACACAAACTTGTCTTGAACTCACTGGAGAGATTCGGCCTGGCGTTCGGTCAACCGATCGGTTTCGGTTCGGTTCTTCGGTTTATGACACAAATTCGGTTCTCTACAAATAGGAACCGATCGGTTCTTCACAAATCTTGGAACCAAGCAAAATCGGTTTCAGTTAGTTCGGTTCGGTTCCGGTTCCGACCGAACTAACCGAGGATTTACACAAGCAGCAAAAAAAAGAATAGAAAAATAGGAAAAAAGATTTTTAAAAAAGCACAATGCCGAGATTTTAAAAAATATGAGGGTGTGAGGCTGTGAGGGGGTGTCATCCACCTTTTATATCTAGGATTAAGTTGGTATTAGGCCTAGGTTGTAAGGTTTATTGGGCTTGTTTGTGAATTTCGGTTCCTTCGGTTATTTCGGTTAACCGAGCTCAGGAACCTAAATTTGATCAGTTAATTCGGTTCCTAAGAACTGAGAACCGAATAGCTAACCGAAATTTTCGGTTCCGATTCTTTCGGTTCCGGTTCCGTTCCGGTTCTTTCGGTTCGGTTCTCGGTTATTTTTGCCCAGCCTTAGGAGAGATCCACTGGAGAAATAGCACAGTGCACAGGTTTGAGAGCATATGCAGTTGAATTCACCCGTTTTGTTTGATGCTCGCACCGAAAAAAGAAATATCGGACAATTTGGCATAATACAAGTTATTGTTGATCCATTTGTCTGGTGCATAGGCATAACTCCGATGCACAACGAAGCTAACCGGTGTTGCTTGCCACAACACAGTAAAGTTATCACAATTAGTGTTATGTTTCGGGCTATATATATTGTTGTCCAAACATGGGCATAACTCTTGGACATTGTAAACCCTCGTACACAAACTAGAGGATACTTTGAGCATCCACACTCATACAACTGTATTAAGTTTCATCTTAAAGTGCGAGAGCTGGATTCTAGTGCTTTGCATTGAAATAGCGATGAAGTGGCACTAGAACATGAAAGCTCTTGTTTGATTTTGGTGAATTGATGAAACCCTAAGTGCTAACCTAGTTTATCTAAGTGATTATAAGATAGGTAGCACTATTCTAAGTGGTGGAGCAATGGTGAAGATCATGATGATGGTGTGGTGACCATGATGGTCAAGCGCTCGGCTTGGAAAAGAAGAAAGAGAAAAATAAAAAGCTCAAAGCAAAGGTGATATCCATAGGAGCTTTTTGTTTGTTGATCGAGACACTTAGCGAGTATGATCACATTTAGGATTGATAACCGTACTATTAAGAGGGGTGAAATTCGTATCGAAATGCGGTTATCAAAGTACCACTAGATGCTCTAACTCATTGCATATGCATTAGGATCTAGTGGAGTGCTAACACCCTTGAAAATGTTTGTGAAAAATATGCTAACACACGTGCACAAGGTGATACACTTGGTGGTTGACACATTTAAGCAAGGGTGGAGAAGTTGGTGAAGTGAAGGAGGTGATTTTCACTGAAAATCAGTGATCGGACGCAGGTGACGTTGTGATCGGACTCGGGGTGTCAGCGTCCGGTCAATTATAAAACTTGGTGGCGTGCTCGGCTTCTCTCTGGTGCTTGACCGGACGCCGAGGCAAAAAGTGAACGGACTCGCCTGTGGTGCGTCCGATCGACGATGACGTATGGTGACATGGCGTTGGTGGGCTGACCAGAGAGGACCAGACGCTGGGCGCGTCAGGTCACGTTTGACCGGACGCGTCAGGTCGCGGTTTTGCCTCTCTGGATCTTTCTGGATCTTATCGGACGCCGGGAAGGTGCGGCAGCAGCGCGTCCGGTCGCGGCGTGTTGGCTGCAGCGGAGCAGGTGAACGGACGCGGCGTCAGGCGCACCTGGTCGTTGATCGGCGCGTCCGATCACAACTTAACCGCGCGGGCGGGACTAGCCGTTGAAAATCGAATGAACGAGGTTGAATCGAGGGGCGACGTGGTAGCCATCCGTTGACCGGACGCTAGCTGTGTGCATCCGATCGTTTTGATCGGCGCATGCCCGGTCAGCGCGTGACAGGCTACAGTGAGGAGCCCAATGGCTCTATTTGTGGGGTCTCTATTTAAGCCCCATGGTCAGCTCAAGCTCTCTCTCTTGGCCATTTGCATTGACATAGCAACTTTGTGAGCTTAGCCAAAGCCCTCCCACTCATCTCCACCATTGATCCATCATCTTTATGAGATTGGTAGTGAATCCAAGTGCATTGCTTGAGTGATTGCATATAGAGGCACTTGGTGTTCGTGTTTCGCTATGGGATTCACTTGTTACTCTTGGTGGTTGCCGCCACCTAGACGGCTTGGAGCAGCGAGGATCGTCGAGCGGAGGTTGGTGATTGTCTCCTGCTCCGATCGTGGTGATTGTGAGGGGTTCTTAACCTTTTCCCGGCGGAGAGCCAAAATGTACTCTAATGGATTGCTCGTGGCTTGTGTAATCCTCATCTTGTGTTGGTTGTACGACACCCTATTGAGGGTTTGGCGTGTGATGCCAATTAACGCGTGAACCTCCAAATGAGTGAATCGCCACATCGAGAACTAGCTTGACGGCAAGCAAGTGAACCTCGGTAAAAAATCGTGTGTCATCATTGTCCGAGGATTTCATTGGTTGTCTTATGATTGATTGATTGATTGGCTCTATCTTGTGATTAGCACACTCCTCGACACGTCGGTATAAACATCATCACCTCTCTTGTATTATGTTCTTAGTGTAGCTAAACTCTTTAGTGTAACTAGTCTTGAGAGCTAGCTTGTGTCGGGTTTAGTGGTTAGTGAGGCTCTTTAGTTAGCCTTTGAGAGCTCACTAACTTAGTGTAGTGACTTAGCAAATTATGTGCTTAGTGATCATAGTCACTAGAATTATGGTAGGTGGCTTGCTCTTTTTTAGCAGGCTAGCGCAACACTCGCTTCGCCGTTTAATTGTCTAACATATTTGCTAAGTGTTGTTGTAGAAAATTTTAATAGGCTATTCACCCCCTCTAGCAATTAGGACCTTTCAGAACATCGTAGTGTAAGTTGATTTGCTTGCTACTTTTGGTGGTTATCGCCATCTAGACAGCTTGAAGTTTGTGGATTATGTTGAAGCACAACTGCACAACAAAAGTATTGCGTTGGTGCTATTGGAGAAGATTTGCAAGGGACTAGTGAGATCATCCTCTTTTTTGAGAGGCAGTGAGCTCATCCTCGTCGGAAGAGGCAAAGAGCATCAGTAGAGGAATACAGGCGTTGAGTATCTCCTTGGTTCTATCCGGTTGAGATCAATTGCTCAAGTTACCATTACCAAGACAACATTGTGAAGTTGGAAGCTCGATAGAAGAGCGGTGAATAATTGAGCTCACTTTAACATAGACTAGAGATAAAGGTGATCGACAAGTATGTACTACCAGACATGTTTTTGCCAGACTATCTAAACTTTGTCAAGTTTGTCGAATAAAATATTAAAATATGTATATTGCTATGGAAATACGTTATATTGACAAATCCAGTAACACTAATTTAATATCACAAATTTATATCTTTTTATACATTTGATCAAAACTCAAAATGATCTGA